CTTAGTTCCAATTTTGTCCACCTGAACAGATAAGTTGGTGGCACTATAATTAAAATAACATTTGTCAAATAAATCAGTCTTATTAACTTTTTTATTTAGTAGTGTAAAAAGAGACCAAATATGACCACTCTAAATTTCTCTTTCCACGCATGAATTACGCGCAACGTCTTTAAATGTATTTGTCTCTTTTTGACTTACTTAAAAATTCAAGTAGAAAAAGCAAAACTAGTATATTGACTCAATTTATGTAGATATGTAGGTTTTCTCCATGCATAATTATGTATGTTATTACTCTAAAGTTATATTGTAAAGCTGGAATATTTTTTGACAAATATTGATTCTTTGTGAGGAAACTAAAGAAATTATTAACAAATATGATGCATAAGTACGTATTATTATGTTTGTAAATATTATAACTACTTGTAAAACTAAATGAGACTTACCTGTTAAACAAAAAGACAGTGACAATCATAGAATTATTAGGCTTAAAACCGCAGCAGGCGCACGCTAAGTGAAGCCGTTTCAAGTTAGCCTTTTAAGGCTAAGTACGACTTTCAGCGTGTCAGTACTCGAGTCCACGTAGTCGTGTAAAGAGCTCGCGCCATTTTGCAAGAAACAACTTACTGTGCTTTAAAAGGGTGTCACAACTCATCACATAATCATGAAAAAAAATCTAAAAATCTCATTTCACTGGTAATTACTGCCTAGCATATTATATTTTTATAAAAAAAAAACATTCATCAAAACAAAATAATAAATCTTAAATTTGACAGACGCCAATATAATGAAAATGTTGCTAGGCATAGACCATCCCACTTGCCAAGAAAAAAATGTGTTGATTTTATTTTGTTTTGTTAATGTGCAGTTATTTTTATCTTTTTTATAGTATGTGTTTTAGGATAAAAACCCTATGAATATTTTTTTAATTCAAATTATGATTTACATACCTTCGCCATTTCCTAAAAAGACGATACGTTTTGCCAATAGCCAACAGTGTAAATTATGGTAAAGACAATAGTTAACGTTTAGCCAAAATAGCACAAAATTATTTATTTTGTTTTAATGAAGTGAAGTTGATAATAACGTGAATATTATTGCCAATTTAAACGTATTCGTTTTAATATTTTCGTCTGGTCCGACTGTTGCTGCTCAACACAGACCACCCAGCCTACAAGACATGAAACCATTACGATTTTCTAATTAAATTAGTCTGTCAAGGTTAGAAGAAAGAAAGGTGTGCGGGTGGCGCGTGAGATGTAACTTAGAGATGTGTCACATCCATAAATCGTACGCGTAAATGTGGGAGACTATGAAAACGTAACGTAATTATAAACAAATTAATGATACTTAAAATACACCGTTTAATACAAGTAAAGTTCTTTAAAATATATTCATGTATTTTACAAGTCATTTACAACGCTAATCGCTTACCATAAATCCGTTAAGAGCGCAATGTGCCTAAAAATACACAAACATAATACATACTCTCGAAAACCATGACTGTTTCGGCCTCGGCCGCGACGGTCGGGTGAAAATATCTACATTAGGTAAAATTAACGTAATATATAAAAATGTAAACAAAAATTACCTTTATTTTTTTATTAATTAGGGTTTGTAAAACTGTAAATTGGATTTCAAATTATAATTACATATAAATTAATATACACATATATAATAGTATGACTGTTCATCTACACAAAAAATAATAGCACAATAAATAGTCGATAAACTTGCATCGATACTTTTTTGGGCATTTCTACTTACACGTGCCGCCTGCAGCCCCTCTGATTGATTGAGTCGCAACTATAATACTGCGTGCTTGACAAGGACAGCCTCAGAACTACGACCAGAACACGTTGAACCCTCACGGTTTTAGTATTTTAAGAATATTAAATGATACATTTATCGCTGAAACGTGACTTTATCCTTCTTGAAATTACGTTTCCTGCTATCATCCCCGCAATCATGTTTTACTGTTTTAATTTTAAAAAATTGTAGTGCTAAGGACGCAGTGCACAGGTCTGTTGTCTGGTCACTACTAAATAGGGTAGCGTTCGTGTTCAACTGTATAGGCTCTGGTTAAGCAGATGAAGTACAGAAATTTGTCGCCTTTCTTTAGATGTCTCGTAAACTAGGTGGTCTGTGCTGCTCAATGAATTGAAAAAATTAGACTTAATCGCAAAGAAAACTAACGAAAACTAACTTATTTACGTTTCTAATGTAGTTTACTCCATTTGTAGTATTGCTGAAAATTTCTAATGAAGTTTACTCCATTTGTAGTATTGCTGAAAATAATCTGCGAAATCATATTAAGCATAATGCACAGGAAAACAATTCAGAGAAAGAGCTATCTCTCGAAGTTATTGCCAAACTCGTTGGTTGTTTACTATTTCCTATTGAAGAAGAGCACATCAATAATCACGACACAAATCTGGCGCGGCTTATTGTAGAACGTTATGTAAGAGTTCGATTCTTATATGAATCCAAAAAAGATAATATTTCCCGGATAGCGTCATCAAAGCGGCAGTTATTTAGATAATTCTAAACGCATCCTAAATATAAATTTTACGACTATGTCTACTATTACACTTTGCCCATTTTTTGGGGAAATCGTCATTTACTTGCATACATTACTCATTTGCTTGTGTGCGTGCGGGCAAACGTAATTACAGGCCGCTTATGCACACATTCATTGTGTTGTTGCTTCAACTTGTGAACGGAATTTTGAATGACACTATCACTCTAAGTCTAATTACTCTATGGTGACAATCCTGCAACAGTAGGCATTAAAGTCTCGCTCGGCGCGGGAGTTATCTCGCTATGTACGTAACGTTTGGGTTTGCTTGAGCGAAAGAAAAAGATATTTACTTACAATACAATACATGAACAAAAGAAAAGCATGAACAAAGTACAAACAAATTATATACAAAATTTTAAAAAAAATATTTATATTCTAAATCGAACCGTTTCTCTTTCTTAAGGAAAGATTTGATTACGTCCTTGTAAAATGTTGGTGAACGTTTTAATTGTACTCGATGCGAGTTTCCATTAAATCAGCGACAGAATGAATTATGTCATTTTGGATTGCACTAGCTAAATAACTCGGCCGTTTGTCGCTTTGTTGATGCTGCATATGCTTTTCTAACACGAGATCGTACTTTGAAAAGAGCGATGCAAGTTTTAAAAATTTCCTCTATTTAATGAAGTTTTAGACTCATCGTGACGTCTGCAAGGAAGTTTATTTATTTATTTAAAAACTTAAACGTAACACCTTAAGCTAAAGGGGTACATAGGGCGGACTTAATGCCATGTGGCATTCTCTGCCAGTCAACCCTGGGTGCCAAGGATAATTGTTGGCAGGTGCGACCATTATACGTAAATAATTACATTAAAATATATACATACATTAAAATATACATATATGCAAAGTACATACATACACATTACATTTAAGTATATATACACATATAGTATAAATATACATACAATAATACATACATACGTATATACATACAATATATATATATATATATATATATATATATATATATATATATATATATATATATATATATATATATAATATATATACATGCTTATAAACTTCGTAAATAAATATACAAATGAATTATATATATAATATGATGTTTGAATAATATATAATGAAATAAATATCTGAAGTAAAAAAGAAGAAATAAAGACAAAAATTAAGGAAGTTCTTGTTGTGCTAAATGGCAAACAATATCGACTAATCTTTGAAAAACACTACGGTTGTGATCAACACGCATGTTGTGTTTTGTAATTTCTTCGGATAACTGGCCCGACAAAGATGTTCCAATCCGATTTTTTTCCAAAATTACTGAACGAAATTACCGCATTCATGTTTTTTTTGAGAATTCGTATGCCTTTTAATGGCTCCAGATAAATTATTTAAATCATCATATCCAGTTTCCAAGCTGTTTTGTTGTTGGAAAAGAATATGCAACACCAACAGTACAAGTTATTAACATATTGAAAACTTTAAAGATTTTACCTTTTTCTCGCCGATTAGCACTTTAACACACTTCAATTCATTACAAGGAGCACTATTATTCTCCATTATCACTAAAAATCTTTAAAAAAAGCATAAATTTTCAACTCGCAATATTCATTCGCTCAAGTAAACACACAGAGTAAATATTGAAATTTGAAATGAACTTGGAAACGTTTCGCCGGCGCGTTCGACTAACTTCACACCGAAAGCCCAGCTTTATCGCCCCATACGAATGATATAAACAATCGTAGTTATATTTCATTATAGAACATTTTACCACAGGTTAGAAAGGGAGCGATCGTCTTCTCGAAAGCCCGGTAAGAAGCCCACGCATACGAGAGAGACGACTAATTGCTCAACACAACTCCTTTTTTATGACAGTCCATCCATAATATTGCTTTGCTTTCATTAATTTTGACAGTTCATTGCGTGTTCGTTTTGAGACAGAGAGAACACGAATCAGTGTATTTCGAATTGAAAGCAATCTGCGAAGTATTACATACTAATACGAGGTCATGACCTGTGTAGAACAGAGGATCGCCCGGGAAATTTGAAACAGTTTACGAGTAATATATTGGTTGATATTATTGATTGAGCAGTTCGATTGAGCAAGCCCGGCTTCTCGGCTTCTATGGAGGCTTCGCTATTGGTCTAACACCAATCACAAGTTAAAAATGTTCCGTCAATTGTTTGTGATTGTTCGAACCGGATCGTTCAAAACAGAATAATGAAATCATCAATACTTTTTACTTGTCCCGGTTCTTAAAGCTTAAACCCGAGATAGAAGACCGCTCATATTTGCAGCGAATACTACACATTGATTGTTATAAATTTTTACGTATAAAAATATTATGTATCTATATAAAAAGATTACGTATTTTAATCGTGTTTAATTTGATGTTAGTACATGATATGTGCAGTATGGCGAAGGTATTTATTTAAGCTTACGTTTTTATTTTTATTTCAGATACTGAAAACATCCGGTTCGTGTTCGCCGCAGTCAAAGACACAATCTTGCAGTCCAACCTGAAGGAGTACAACCTCGTGTAAGCGATGCCGACGTATTCGCTGACACAAATCTGTGATTGTGTATAACATAATATAATTCGAACATCATCACTTCACAACAAAGTGTAAATTCAAGAACTGAGATCGGATGGACAAACCTATTCGTCTTATCATGATTTATGAGAAAGTAAGGTTAGATTGTAAGTCATTTAACCCGAAACCGACTCGAATCGGGTGCGGTATACAGCTGCACTCCGTCGGACAACATTCGTTCTCGATCCGAACGGATCGCTTCACGACACGTCAGGTTTTTTGACATGTTTTTTTATGATGAAGTTATTCACAACTTATGTATGTGTCTGTATCGGTGAATATTAAATTGTGCATTTTAAAAGTTGTGGTGAGCCCTTGGCCTTACCATGAGCTGCTTTTAGTCATTGTTTTAGGATTTTGTAAAGTTTGTTGCCATAATATCTTTCTACATTTAGTATACATTTATGTCCAGACGGATGGATTTGAACAAACTAGTCCAATGAACTTACGCGTGTTTCACGTCATCCTTGTGGGTCGAAACGGGACTTTCAGTTTAATCGATCGGGATGCTTCCGTGTTACTATTACGTATTTATTTAAATTATGAGATGTTTGGTGGCAGTTGCGTTCGGTCCTCAAAGTAAAGTTGCACTGGAGAGATGGCTAAGGTATTTCACGGGTACTACTTCGGTTCGGGGCCAATATATACGTCCGTAGGAAATAAAAATATCTAGACCTTTTAACCATGTTGTCAATATTATGTTGTTTATGTAAACAAATAGCAAAACTAATAAAAAATGTACTTCTATATAATATATCGACAAGAAACTTTGGAATTATGGTATTTTTTATTTGGAAAGCAATATCTGTAGCCACATTTACATATTTCTTATACTATAAACAATTTAGCACTGCCTTGTCCGAACCTCAGCCATCTCTTCATTGTTCGAATTCAACACTAACGTTTGTTCTCTTAGCTTGAAAGATTTATTGTATTTTAATATTATTGCGTTACTTTTGTACATTGGAATTTTGTTACTTGATATATGTTATATGTTAATAATTAAGCTGTTTATATTTAACTATGGCGTTTTTCTAAACGAATTGACTTCACGCAAAATGTTTTTACGTTTAACTGTAGGCTTTGTGTACGCAGTTGTCTGGTGTATTTGGTTCCTTCCTAATGTTATCCGAGTACGAAAATTTCATTCAGCAGTTTATCCAGCAAAGTTTACTGTGTTAGTTGTGTAAGGACATTTTTGATGCATTTGATATAAACTTTTTTTACTAGAAACCCAAGGGATTCAATAATGCGGAATGTTGAATGTAAAAATCGATACCGAAGTTTTATGCACAAAAGCTTTTACCACTGGAATGTAATATATTGTACATTTGGGTCTAAATGTGCTGAGTGAATTGAGCCGACAGCTCAATGCCATGTTTTGCTATTGGCATAAATTATTGCACAAATATACACGTCCTCCAATATTTTAGAGATTTTTTTATTATGCTATGCTTAATTTAGTGTGTTGCTTCGTGTTATTATTTAATTATTTTATGTATAGTAAGAAACAAAGTTTCTATTATAAAGAGATAACTTATTATTGTATTAACTTATTTGTTGTTGTGACTTGATTTTTCTATTTACCGTTTAAGCGTTTCAATTTCGAGAATTAAGCATACCATAACAGTTGACACTGTCAATAGCAAAACTATTTGCTTTAAATTAAGATACAGCTGTCTGAAATGCTCAAAGTATTGTGAATTTGAAACTTAGCGCACAATATTGGAATATTTCTATTGATGTTACCCATTAAAGTGCAATCTCTGTGTATGCCCTGTACATAGAACTGTATTTCAGTTGTGCAATTGTACAGCAATATTGATTGATTTGGAGCCCGGCGTACGCACTTCCGTTCGAGTGCGGCGTGCTGCGACTCGGCGGCGGATCGTATGATCGTATCGCATAGCTTTAGACACCTACGAGTGGTAATCTCTCTTGTTTGCCAAAGCGACTATGTTTAAATGCCTTCATAACTAATAGTAATGTACAGACTGATCTTATAGTTTTCTTTTCAATATTTTTAAAGTGTGTAAGGAAGGGAAACCCACTCGTTAGCGCCGCTATGTGTACTCTACGTGCACCGTATAGACGCGGTCGTTCGCCGCTCGCCGCACGCGTACGCCGCGGATTCGTAACTTCCATACGAATGGACTGAATTTTCGTGTAACTGGGTGTGATTCTTATATGATTTTTTACGGTGGGCGATGACAACATAAAATATTGCTAAAACTATATTATAGTCTAACTTTGCTTTACCTTTTGCGTGAGATTGTGAGAATTTTAGCTTAAGTTTCGACTGAAGATGGATGCCTGTATGTAATATTGTAAATTATAATTTCTCATAAAATATAATTTTTTTCAGCTAAGTGCGTTGTTTTTTTGAGATCCATTTTTATTAACTTTTCTCGAAGTTACTTCAATTTTATATGTATAATGAAAATTCATTTATCATTCCAGAATCTCATCCTTCAGTTTTTTCCAGACAACATAACCCACTATCTTGTCTCTGCGGGTCATTTCCAGCACGTCAATTTAAAAGGGGAATGCCTACTGTTCATAGACACTTCGGCCATTGGTGCCCACATATAAAAGCATATGGAAATGATAATATGCAATTAAAATAATGAAATGGTTAAGGAATTGATTTTAAAAAGTCGGGATTTTTATGATATAAATTTTTTATTTTCACAAATACAGTTTTTTAAAGACTACTTTTACCAATTTTATTGCTTTTAATTTCTTTAACTTTTGTTTCCCGACATTTCAGGTGCTTTATAGCACCCATGGTCACGGGGACTGAGGTGACTGCCATCCCAATGTCAGTATTGGGACATGGAGTACCTTCAGCTTTTATTATTATTTTTATAGTCCAATCTACGCAGATTGAACTTACTCTATCTTTAAGTCTTGCAGTGGTATGCTTGGTTTTAGTTTTAATGTTATTAATTATAGTGTCCCAAGCAGGTGGTAGCACCCAACCGCCTTCTCTATTGAAATTAGGATGTTTTTTAATTTCAATAGCCTCACATATCATCCTTGGTAGGAATTAAGGTTCTTTCGCAAGGATTTGTGGGGTATGTTCCGAAATACAACGCAGTGTACTGTCCATTGCAAATGACGTCATCATTTGACACTTTATTGTACTAGCGTGGCGCCGCCATATTGTGTCGGATATCCGGCCATAATAAAACAATTTTTAATTGTGTGTTTGCCGAATGAAGCATGTCAGAATTTATTTCTATTTATTCAAATACAAAAAATTATAGAATGATTGATGGTATATCCATTAGGAGGATATAATGATTTTTGGAGCACAAAATGATAAAATAATCGCCAACACTTTTCCAAACGGCACAAAAGTATGACGTCGTATACTGTCCAATGTTTTGGAACGAATCACCAGGATAGCGTCGATTCATGACGTCATTTGCATTGGACAGTACACTGCGTTGTATTTCGGAAAATACCCGTGGTCTATCAAATCTGATGTATGTCTATCTGGTTGGGGTGACAACATTGACATACGGTAGTACAGCTGACACACGCTCAACTGCGGTTGGCTTCACTCGGTCACTGTGACGTAGACGTGGGACCCGAAGCTTGATTTTGTGCAGAACATGCTTGACGTGCTGAAGCTCCGCGGCCAGGTGCTTGTTCTCACAGATCCCATATGCTCTCTGTAACAAAGATTTGCTCACGGTAACTAACTGTGAAGGATGATGGTGAGATTCACCGCTTAAATATAAGTTTGTATGGGTCTTTTTTCTATACACAGTGTGACCTATGATGTTGTTAGGATTTTGGATAACAAAAACATCTAGGAAAGCTAAGAAATGCCTCAATTATCATAATTACTGAATGGAATTGGCACAGAGAGTGGTAACATGAAAAATTTAGAACAATATCCTGAAATATTTCGCGGGCCATATTCATGAGCCGCTCTAATTTGTTTCTTGGCACTTGCAATAATGCCTATATGCATTCATCACTATCTCCTGTTCCTATTTTCATCAAATATACAGCAAGTGCAAAACATCCACTATGTTTACTTGACATTTTGGGAACTTCAGACAGAATTTATTGTTATTGTGCTTTTGATAAGCCTAGATAATAATGTACAGTATATTCAGGCATACTGTGAATATTTTCAAAGTCTATAATATGATGGTAAATATTATCTTACAATAATGTAGAAAAATCTATAATTTGTGCTACACTAAATGTTTTAATATGGTTATATATTGATTCTAAAAGTAAATACCAAGAGTTACTATTTAAATGGTAGTTACTGATTCTACATTCTGGAGGCATAGTGTATTCACAAAAAGACATACCCGCAATGTTAATGGAACAGTGACGATTGGAATAGTTACAACCGGGAAAAAACATTGATTTTGTGTGAGTGGTGCTCTTACAAAATTAGGCAGCAGTATATTGTACGATGTATGATCTAAGCTTTGTTATTCCAGGTTCAATATATTACTCACTTTAGATTGCAACGAGGACGGACTAGATGATTCAGATGGTTCCCGTTCTAAAGTCTAACGTGATGCTGCTTTATCAGTCCTTCGCCAGCAATCATGACACTCACGCGATGACGATGGCAACTGAAATAATATTAAATAAAAAAAATAAGACAAAGTGAACAAAATAAAATAGATTTGTTTACTTTAAACTCAAATATAGGTAAATGTTACTTAAAACTTAATGCCCTATATTTTTAATAATTAAGGACTGACTGACTTTTTACCAGTAGTCCAAAAACAATTAAAAATCGACTGTCTCATTTCTTGGTATTTGATAAAAATTGTCAATTTCGTAACTATCCGGTGTTAGCTAGCTAATCTTATCGCCATGTTATAAATAAGCTATTATGTTTGTCAGATATAGCTTGTGCATATGTTAAAAAATAAAACAACTTCATCATTTCATTCATTCATCACTAT